AATTCCAGCTGTTTTCTGTTTTAGCAACATAGCACAAATTTATCCTAACTTATCAAAATTTCATAATATTTGGCAATTAAATTACTGATTAAGGATGGGTTACAAATGCACTCTTTTAGATATATTTGTAAGGATATAAAGCTGGGAACTATTATTTTCTCTAATTTGAATCAATAACTATCGCAGGGCCTGAATTCTTGACCTGAAATAGAGAAGTATCGTGGGTCCTAAATTCTTGACCTGAAATCAAGAAGTATTGCAGGTCCTGAATTTTCTTACCGATATTGTTATGTCATTATTGCCTATCCATCTGGATGAAATGTTAATTGGAATGATAGGTAGGTTATTTTCTCGAAAACATATCATTTATTTTACTACAACCACTCCTCATCCCTTCCCTATTTCCATTCAACAATCTCTTCGTTTGACCTATTGTTGCCTGACCCGTCTTCCTCTTCTAATCTTTCAAGCCTATGAGTTCATTTCTTTACACATTCAATACCCACCAGGCCTTCACGGACCATAAACCCACGCAGAGCGTTTCGCATTCTCAATTTCAAATTTGAAAATTTAGGGCCGAGCCGTAAAAACGAAGTCGGACATAATGGCAACTTGTATTGAATAAAAATTTGGCGTTGAGAATCATCGAAGAGGTTACGTGTGATTTGGCGTGTTATTATTGAATATTGTTAGGTATGATTTGATGATTTAAGGAATTACTATTAGATGTTGTTTACTGTTGCGATAATATTTAAAACATTTCCATTTTAAAAATTCTTTTGTTTAATTTTCCAATTCCAAAAAAAAAAAGAAACGTAAAGAGACGAAGAAAAACTTGTCATTTTTGTAAATGATAGGTTCAAATTCAAGTACGAATTTATATATCAGATATTTTGAATGTATCCTTAAAAATCGATTTGTTAGCACTTGTCGATCGATCTGGGATAGCACTAACTTTTCTTTCTTTCAGGAAATGAGCAATAATCAGACGGTTGAGAAAGAGAAAAGCAGCACAAATCTTGTTTGCAATGAAAATATCGCTCATCGGAAGTCACCTGAACTTTTTCCAGAAAATGTACCTGGTGCTTGGGATCTGAACAGAACATTAGCTGTAAGATTTATGATTACGTTTTGTTAAGTTAGTCATCAACTTAGCTTCAGTAAATCGATGCTTCTAGACAATTCAGGGATATTGATATAATTAATATTTTGCATGTTGAAATGTTTAGTATACACAATCAACTTTAACAGGCTACTTAAGTATTTCATGTTACATTTATAATTTAGTTAATTAGCTCATTTCATCTTTATTTTTTCTAATCCGCTCAATGAGTGGTAGTATGTATCTTAAGGTATTATGTATTTTTAAAAAAATAGCGATTATAACTTGTCGTTGTTTTCATATAAATCATCGTGTTTTAAGTTATATTTAGATTTTCATGAAGCAATTATTGCAATTTATTTGGAATGAAAGCTGTTTTATACATCCATTTATCACGTTTATCTATGTATTATATTAAAGTGCTATTAGAGCACATTTTTTTAGGCAGTTGCTGGTGATTTCAGGTTAACCCGTTTTCGAACCGAATTAGATACACAAGATGTACGTCTTGTTAACGGTAAGCATGCCACAAAAATATTTATTCGAAGTAATATTAGAAATACAGCTTAACTTAAACATTAGATTAGTTATATGAATTCTTTATTAATTTCAAAAAGTCAATATTTTTGAAGATTTATTTGTAAATTTTAAGACTAACGTGATCTTGTTCGTTTAGAGCTTGGACAGTTTAGTGCTGATCAGTTAATGGAATATGTAAGGAGTTTGCAGAATTCCGCCTATACATTAGGAATTGATGAAGGTTGTTTTGTTTCTAGTTTAGCTATTTTATTAATATTGTTTCATTAATTTATTGATTCTCAGGTTTTTTAGTTTGTATTAATGTCTGTTTTCATGATATAGTCATTTTTGAATCTAAAAAATATCATGAAAACATACATTTCTAGAATTGATATTTGGATAATTTTTTTAGCTTAAAATTTTTGTAAGTAAGAATTTCAGCGAAGCAGTTTTCAAAGGGAAGGCTTTTGCGAATATTTGAGAAACGATCGGATGGATCACAAAGATGACGGATAAATGATGATGGATGTGACAAAATAAATGATGAATGTTCACTTTCTGCTGCCATGTGATCATAAAATGTGCATATTTATTGTTGGACAACATTTCAAAATATTGATCACTTTACAACTATATACATCAGAAATATTTACACAAGACGATTTAGCTGGAAAGAGAAGTATGACAAATGGCTAATTATAAACCATTCTTATGCTTCAAAAAACTGGAAACTATAGGTTTGTAGTATATTACGGGCTGGCTAATTACAGTAGAAAGTTTTTTAATTCCAGTCATGTATAAAAGCTTTTATTTTCAAATAGTTGCTTTTAAATGAAGGAAACGAAGGTAAAAACCTGCATAAATACTAACATCAGTTATTATTACGCATTCTTAAATCTAAGCACTTATTGCATTGTACATTAACATTTTTTTAATAATTTCTGCTTGAAAAAGAAATAAAAAAACATTTAGTATCTGTCTGACTTGACAGGATACTTGTCATGTTTTGAATGTTTTAAAGTCAGTAAATATTCTCCCAACAGACTTATGGCATAGAGGGCTAAACTTCTACATCATACGCCTTTGTCGAGAGGACTGGCCTTAGAAAGTAGAGAGCACACAGGATATGGGTTGATGACATTTTTTTTTTTTCTAATTGTTACCTATTGATGTAAATAAAAACCGAAAAATAATAGGGGGCAAATGCTTGAAGAGAATTTAACATTTCAGGTTGGTTTTAGTTGCAAAACTCTCAAGTTACTAACTGAGAGCCAATCCAACGAAAAGGTGAAATCGGATGAAAAGTTATTTTTATCAGTATGAAAAAAAAAAAGATGGAACGTTTTTCACTCACGTTTTAACATTACCGGTAGTTTTTACCCAACTTTTAGAAATTTAACTAATATTAGCGCATTCATTCTTTCTTATTCATTACAGATTATTTCAATTTAATAAAAACTACAAGAGATCCTCCAACATAACTCTCATCTATCATTTTGACAAATGAAATATTCACAGACTAGGAAGAATATCTTTTAGCTAAAGCTTATTTAAACCTCAGCTAACATGGATCATTTTTTTTTTCTCAGTAATCTCTTGATTTCTCCTCACTTACTTCTTTCTTTTTTTTTAAACATTTTCCTTTCCATTGTTCCTCATCTCTCCTAAAAATTTTCTATCTTTAGCAAATTAATCTCAGTGTTTCAACAACTTCTTCAACATTTACTCTTCTTTCCAACAATATTACAAATTTTTAGGATTTGCATGTGAAATATTGCAATAAAATAATCTCATTTGCTAGATACGATATATTGCTGTGTCCAAATATTCATTATTGAGATTTAATTTTTTTTTTTTTGGAATTTTCAATAATTTTTTTTAAGCAATTTATGATATGGAAGCTTTCATATCCGGTGATTATAAGAATATGCGAAATAAAATAATCAGTAAGTTTTTTTTTTTTTTTTATTTTTTGATATTCTGCAGAGAATAGATTTCAATTTGTGATTTTTTTAAGTTAATGGTGCATTTTTCCTTTCTAAAACTTAATTTTTTTCTCTATAACACTAAAAGGTCACAGTATAGGAAAGGATTAAATTGAAAATAAGGAAGGAAAAGAAGAAAAAAGAAACATTTTGCATATCATTTAGTTCATTCTCTTTGATAAGGATGAAATTTAAGATCACTATGATTTGATAAGAATGGAAATATGCAACTAATTGAATGATCATATCAATATAACTTTTTGCTCTTTTAAATATCGTGCAATGAGAAATCCTTTCATTCAATCCTTTGAAAAGTTTTAGCATTTAAATTAATATATCCAGAAAGCACTAACATATCACTTAATTTAAAAAAAAAAAAAGTCCATTAAGCTATTAATTTTCGATATTTATGGAAGGCAAAATGATATTCGCCTTGTGATAATTTGATTTGGATAAAAGTGCGCAGATCAATTTTTGTTTTGCCTTTTTATATTTTTCGTTTTGCTATTTTTTTTTTTAATGAGATTATTTTCCGGTAAAATATTATGATACAGTATGAGTAACACTTTACAAATAAAATGACGCAAATTGCAACAGTTAAAATCATTGCTACATTTCCTGAATATCACTGCAATAATACAATTTTGATAAATACTGAAAAAGTTTCAATCGATTGCGCTGAAACACTAGCTTCTCTAATTTCTTAAAGCTTTGTAAAAAATTAAAATAATTAGCTGAGTAATGTTTGTATTTCGAAAAGATTATCGAAAAATGAATTAATACTAAATTACTTTTAATTCGATATCATTATTTTATTCAAATGTAGAAATGAATAAACAGTATCAATGATCATTGTATGTGATGCAAAGTTTATTAAAAAGGATTAACCTAATAAAACTGATATATAACAAACGAAATATGCACGGAAAATTGAATGGAATATTGAACGTTCTGTTTAGCACGTATAAAATAGATCGATTATAATATCGGTTGATCATTTCTTCCGATTTTTCAGTTAATATTCTTTTCAACAAGTTGACAAGTTTTTTTTTAAATGTATGTCTGTTAAAATAAATTTTGAAAATTTCTCTCACTAAAGTCCAGTAAAATTTTGCAATGCTGAACAGAAGCTCAATAATGTAAAATCTTTTCAAACAATTATTTCAAATTTAACAAAATCGTTCAGATAGTTGACAATTATTAAACATCATAAAAATTTCAGCGATAAGTAAATTATTAAACAATGATAGCAAAGAAATTTTTAACTGAATTAGATTATCATTTATAAAAATGAAGTATATGTGATCAAGAAAATGCATATAATTCAAAAAACGCAAACCTGTGATAACTGAAATATGATAAGATTTGAAGTAAAGAAAAAAGGAAACGAGATATCAGTGATGACTTGCGAGTGATAAAAAATGAGAATGTGAATCTCTCAAATGCAAGGCTAATAATGGAATCTGACAGTGACAATCAGCTGTTTGATCATTTAATGTTATCAAACCATGTTCACATTGATAGCATGCTTGAAGATCTTTATGATCTTTACCGCTCAAACTACAACCATACTCTCGTAAACATCGCTCACAACCAAGCATTTTTCTGACGAGAGAAAAAACAAAACGATTAATATTTATTGAATAAATTTTAAAAAGCTCAAACTTAATTGTTAAATATGAAATAAATTTTCTAAGTATTCTTTTTCATATCATTATTGTGAAGTGTTTTTCTTAACAAATGAAAAAGTCATAATTAATATTAAGCATACCTGCATGGACTAGCTTGTACGCGAATTTTTCCTTGCTCACGTTCACGTCCACAATTTGGACATTTAGCAACGTCCACATAAAAATGATCCATGCTATGAATTGTTTGGAAGACATTGACTGCCTGTAACAAACATATTGGAATAAATATTTACTATTCCTGAAGATATGAATAACTATCGATATGAATGCCATAATTAAAAACTTTCATGTAAAATTTTACCAGATAAAAACATCAAACCTGATCGTATAGTGTTCTCAGTTTAGCTGCTAATAAGTCGGCTAACAATCGTTCAGAAATTAAATTTCGATGTTCTTCCAAACAACGTACTGAAGCAGCAGCAACACAAGGAAGACAAGCATCGTATGTGGTCTGATCAAATTTATGTTTTAGCACCCAATTTAACCAACAAAGTGCTACCATTGGAGTTCTTTTTGTTACCTGAAAAATTTAAAAATAATTTTAAATTTTATTTCTTCTTTTAAGAATTCACTGAAGTTTAATTTGAAATAATCGCAAAAAATTAGCTTAAATTTGACTCATTAGTTGAGTATTGAATTTAAATTGCAAAATTTTTTCCGCTTCCTAATTGCTGTTAACCTTTAATGATGCTTTTATATTACATATATTATGCAGTAACGAAGCATCATTACATGACTAATTTTATTGGAAAATTTGAAAATTGCTATAATAATTTTAACTCGTTGCATTATTGCACAAAAAAAATGCAAAAGATATTGTTACATTATAAATTTTTATTGATTTATTTTTCTACTAAATCCTTGCCAATTAATAATTTAATAAATACTTAGCTGTAATTTATCAAAATAATTCACTTGAGAAATAATAAATTAAAAAATACTTCTTACATTATCTTGAATATATTGAGCACATTTCATTTCCAAGCATTTAGCACGAAATCGTTTTGACAACCTCATACATGTTTCCAGTGTATCATCTATAAACACATAATTACTATTCTTGAATTATTTTATATTTCACCTCTTAAATATTATCTATTTTTGAAAATTAAATTTTCCAAAAAATTTCATAAAAACTATTGAAGAATTTCATTTCTAAAAACGCTACAAATATTTTGATGTTTAATTTATTCAAATGTGTTTAAATGATGTTTTGTGACTGTTTTTACAAAAAAAAAAGTATTAATCAGATTAAATGCTGAACAAAATAAAATTTTGGTACGTTTTTTTTTCTGAATACATTCTTCGGTTTGGCGTATTTATCTTAAAATTAAAATTCAAATTAGCGTGTGATACCTGTAATATCGCTAAAAACAGGTGTTTGAATTACACTTTCCAAGAACCATTTGAATTGTACAGCTGGTGGAGGATATTTAAGTGATGAAACAACAACAGCAAATTCGTTACATGAATTGTGATAAACTCCTGATATGGTTGTTGTTTTGTTGTCCAAAAATAAAGCTCGAAAATAATCGCTGATATGAGAAAGTTGGTGTTTACAAACCAAAAATTTCGTATCCTACAGTCAAGAAATGTTCATGAATTAATTAAATTCATCGTAAAATAAATAAAAAATAAATAATCCTTAAAAAAATTTTACGAGAGTTTCAGTTAATCATAAATAATTTAAAAAACAAAAAAAAAAAAGGCACCTGAACAATAATTGTTGCTGAACAACCACCCAATTGACATTGTGCTGATAAATAATCTAATGTTTCTGAGATTTGTGAAAATTTTTTAGTTGGTGATCTGAAAAATTACAATTTACTAAAGCGATTATTTCAAAGAGCTATAATTAATTTGCAAATGATCAAAAATTTTAACTAATGATGAAAATGATTAAAATGTCGTGTTTTTTTTTTTTGCAATAAGTTCGCGAATGATTTAAAAAAAAAATCATTTAGCGATTAACAATTACAAATTGTAAAAATATTTATTCAATTTGAAAAAATATTAATCAAACAATTCTTAGCAATATTTGTTTAAAATTCAAAAAATAAATGGAAAAAAAAGAGGAAAAGAAAATGAATAATTTTACTTTGAGCGACTTTTTTTGGTGATTTCATCGAAGGATGTTTGCGACGCTTTCGTTGGACTGCTTGACCGAGGCCGACTGATATGTTTTTTTTTTGAATTGAAACCTTTTTGTTTAACATTTATTATTGATGCATCGGAATGATGCGCCCAATGATTTGTTGGATTGGATAATGAATTGGACGGTTCATTGTTATGCTTACTATCATCCATTGTATCATTCTTTAAAAGAGTTAAAAATACTTCGAACTGTTTTTAAAAAAAAATAATTTCAAAATTAATGAGAAATCAATTTAGAGTGAGACATATTTACATGCAAAAATAGTTCAATCGTAAATTGCTTAATTATCATGTACTATGTCTCTTTTTGCATTTTTTAAATCAAAAATTCTTGATTGTTTTTTTTTTCTTTGTTTTAAATAAATTTAAATTCAATGTCTTTTTTTCATTTTATCAAATTTGTATTTGAAATTTACTTAAATCTAATTATTGATTAGATTCAAAATTTGAAATGTGCTAATGAAATTTTTGAGTATAGAAAATACTCAGAACTTACATGAACATGAGTGGGACTTTTTGATCGTTTTGGAACGAATAGCTCTTTGTTAGAATGGATGATATCAGATTGATGAGATGTGGTAGAATGAGGATTTATATCATCAATTTGATGTGCATCCCATCCATAATCTTTCTCAAAATGATAAGATGATAAGGGTAGGTAGAAAATTGTTTCAATTGGCTTTATGATTGCTAATTTGAAAGTATGAAAAATACATCAAACTTATGCCTCTCATGATCTTTTCTGCAATTAAATCCTGAACAGACGAAAAATCAATCGCTAATGCTCTATTTGAGCGGATTTATTTAGCATGTGGAGGTTTTCCAAAAGTTGCCAATACTGATGCGATTAACCTAGGAACCCCTTGGGAAAATTTGATATTTTAAAATGGCTGAATTATATTTATACTTTCTTTTTTGGTCAAATTTTCCGCACATATTTCCTTTTGCACTTTCATATTATCATCAATGATCATTGTTAACTTTTAAATTATTACAAAGTATTTAAAATCAGAGAAAACTTCAAATGCATCATTGACTAAAAATAAAAAGTTCGTTTTTTTTTTTTAAAAAAAACTCTCAGCAATGTTTATAAGCATCAATGATTTTAGACATTTAAATAGGTAACAGCAAAAGGTTTTTGATGTTGCCGAGAAATGCAATAAACAAACATTTATCAAATTTTGTGAAGCTACCTTTAGTGAATTGAAAATCCAAGAAGTATGAAAAATTACTCTTTAGAAATGGAAAAAAAAAATTTTCCCTTTCGAGAGCAGTTTATTTAAACAGTAATTATCTGCAATGATTCTTGGAAATTATTAAAATATTCCTGGTAATCTATCTTCTGAGAAAATTTATCGGTTCTTTATTTTTATTACTTTTGATTTAAGTGAAATAAAATACTTACATGAATATGTAATTGTGGTTCATACTTCGGATGAATAAAATGATCAATCGTTCTGATAGGTGATCCATAATGAGAAGATTGCTGTTGTTGTTGCTGTTGTTGCTGCTTTTGTTGTTGTTTCATCTGTTTCCATAGCTCACAATCATTTCTTTGATATTTTACCGGTGATTTTGATCGAGATCTGGCTCGATCAACTATTTTCTTGATAAAATTTGCCATCGTCCTAACACTTTCACGGCTACGATATATTCATCAATTATAATTCAATAATGTTAGGAAGTGAGAAAAAGTTTTGTTGCTATTTTGCAACGTTTTTTTTTTCTAACTCTGCAAAAGTGTAATTTCAATACTTTCAAATGATGGAATGATCAACATTTTACACTATCAACACTTATCACAAGCATTGATAGAAATAACAAATATCATATGAAAGAAGAAAGCGAAAAAAAAAACTCAATTCAAATTTTGCTATCCAGAACTAATTTAACTGGATGGCTTACCTGATAAGTGCATTGCATTAATTAAATAAGTGGTAGCGAAATTTCAATATTCATATTTGATTGTAAAAATTTATTAAATTGATGAACAGTTTGATTAAAGAGTATAGAAATACATTGTTTGCCAATTTCTTATTCGATAAAATTAATAAACTGCAAAGTTTCGGATATATAAATTTTATTGATTATTTGCTGTTAAAACGAATAATTGTGAAACGAATAATTAGCTGCGTTCAAATGCGAAAATGCGGTAACCAATAAAAAGATTGTAACATTTCTGGTGTGTGCTATTCAGTTTTTTTCTACATGGAGCGGTATATTTAACAGGAAAATTATTCAATTAAATTTTTTTTCTTGCAATTAAACTATTGAAAAAAATAATCCTGCAAATAAGGAAGAGTTGTAAAAATTAGAAAAGGAAAATTAAAAAAACTACCCGAAAATTTACATCGCCAGAATTTATAGGAAAACTTTCCGGTTCACGTTTTTTCTATTACATATTAAATAGAATCATTAATAAGAGATATTATTAATATCTCTTCAGTAACAATTAATATTTCTTAGAATTAGATCACTGTGCATGCACGTATTACGTGTGCTACGTCGTATTTTTTAAGCTAAAAGACTTATCGAAACAGTCGTGCAAAATGTTCATTTCGATCTCGTTTTGGTGGTAAATTAAAACAAATGCTGTAAATTTGTCGAACTTTACAGTTTTATCAAATTCATTGCTCAACTATTCATTGTAATTTTAGACTAAATAGAAGTGCAAATAATTTTCCGTGATATTAATCATTGCAGATCAATAAATGTATTTAAACAGAGAAATTTAAATTTTACCACCTTCATTTAAATATCTCTCATTTAAATCGCATTCAACGTAATGCAGGCAATTTGAAACATACTACACTTCTGATCAATATACTCATATTTACATGTGATAAAATATGAGATGGAATTAAAGAATGGAATTAATTTGATTACTAAGTATTAGAGTAATAGATAGAGATGCATGAGTTGTAGAAATAATTTTTAAAAATGGTGCAAAATTTGCTTTTTTTTGGAAGTTAAAAAGCAGTTTTAGTGAAAGAATCAATTCTTCATACTAATAAAAATAATTAATTGTAAATGAGAATTAGAATAACTTAGGCTAAGTAAAAGTGAATAAAAATGGATAATATTTAATGTTTAATAAATTCTTTTGTATAAAGTTTCCTGATCATATAACTTACAAAAATTTTCAACTCAATCATTCAGAATTTTCATCATTTTTCTTTTTTCAAATGATTGTGGAAGTAAATTTATTTTTAAAATTAAGAATTTCATAATTTTCAAAATCTGCTGATTGTTGAAGTGAATTACGAGTAAACGCTCTCATGAAATATCTTTCAAAGTTCATTTTAAAAAAAGACTCGAAATTCTTTATCGTTTTAGTTTTAGTGTGAAATAATTCTTTCCGCAACCACATATTATTATTACAACATTTAAAAATACAAACAATGGCGCAAAGACAGGTGGCAAATAAAATAAAGCAATTTAAAAATAAATAAACAGTTGCTCTACTGCAAGAACAAAAATCGGTAAGCTGAAGTTTTTCGATAAAAACATCAAATAAAGTTCATTTCATTTCATCTGCAAACTAATTATGAAGTTTAAAAAAAAATTTTATGTTATTGCAAATAAAAGTGTTAATTAGTAAGCAAAAATTTGTTAATCAATAGTTATTTCAAAGTTACATTTCGAACGTAATAGTAATAATTCATTTCGAATTTGAACAAACAGAAAGTCTGTAATTATTCATCAAAATTAACTGATAAAATTGTTAACTGAAACATTTCAACATTTCCATAAAACATTTTCAACAAATGCTGATTAATTTTCCTCTGAATTTTGTTAAGCTACAAATATTTTTTGAAAATTTTAAATTTGAAAATTTTAAATTTGAAAATTTTATTGAAAAAAAAATTTAATTCCAAAAAAACAAGTGGAAAAGCTCACAAATGAAAAAGGCAAGTAACATATATATAAATTAAAAATTAATAATTTATTTGCTTTTAAATTAATACTAAACCAAAATAAACAACTCAATTGAACAATTGATGATAAACAGAACAGGTGATAAGACATGGGAAGAAGGTAAATGAGAGAAATGAAAAGTTTTAACGAACAGTTTCTGTTCAAACAGCTGTTTTTCAAATTAGTGTAATCAGTCACAAAACATTTAAGCAACGAGGAATGATGAGAAATTGGTACAGATATGATAAAAGAATGGATGATAAAGTTTTGCCAGAAATACTTCAAACTCATTTTCTCACTTCTTTGAAAATCTTCACTTATTACTTCTAATCACTTATCAGCAGCACCATATCAGCAAGGCTTTACATCTAATTAAATCAAATCACATTTGCTAAATGCTTCAACAGCTGTTAAATAATATAATGAATCATTTAATACATGTGTAAATTAAATTTTGGAATAATTTTCAATTTATTCTTTGATCACTGTATGTGCAAATTATTAGCTATTACATTATTCTTAATAAACTACTTACATTGATCAGACATTATTTTTTTTTCTTTTCTACTTTTTTTTCTAAATTTTTGTGCTTCAAAGAAAGAAGGAAATGAGAAAAGAAACAGAAAAGATATTTGAAAATTGAAACGATGAGACGAAATGATAAATATTGGCAGAGCAATAACAATCATAACGATGAAAAGTTTTTTTTAATGAAATTAATTGCTACAATAATGTCATATTTGCAATTATAATGAGATTAAAGGTTAAAATGAGCGGAAAAATTCATTTTTATTGAAATGAAATTATGCAGGAAAACAAAAAAACATTTTTTATTGCACAATTATTCTAACATTAATTAAATATAAGACTGAAAAATTGGCATAATTATTGAATATTGATGAAGAAATTGCTCTCTTTTGCTTGGTCCCATATTTTATTTTTTGAATCAATTTTCTTTTTAACATTCTAATATTATTAAAAAATTTGCACTAAAAGTTACATTTTTTTTTCATTGCCATTGCTATTAGAAATCATTTTGATATGCATTATCAAATCGTATAAACAAATAATTCATAATTCTGTCTTTAATTCGTTGAAAATTGAAAATTTGGAATTTTTTGATTTAATGATAAAAAATTTCCAAAGAATTCCTCTCAGCAATTTAACTCAGCAATTCAACAATCAGCAACTTTTATTTTTCAACTATTTTCTAATCATATTTTGCATAATTCATTATTTTTATTCACATCGAAATCATTGAAAATTTGAAAATTTTCGATTCAACAAAACGACACATTTGTAAAAGATTTATTGATTTAACTTATCCTAACCTTCTAATCTATGCAACTATCTATACATTCATAATTACTTTGATTTCGGGTCAATCTTTTTAATTTTGTGCTTGAAAAAAAGTTTTGAATTAATGGAACAGTAAAATTGAGTCAAAGCTGGTTAGCAATCCAACAATTACAAATTATAATCTCCGTACAATTTTATGCAAATCTAATTATAACTGATTATTTTAGTGCAGAAATAATTTAAAATTTTTATTTCTTTCAACTGAATAAATTTTATTGAATGTAAATTATACAGAAATTTATTTTATCCAACAATATAATATTTACTAGTTATAGCTAATTTTCTGCAAATAAACCTTCAAAACATTGATTTATAATACGCTTCGGATTTTCATATATATACGATAATTTGGGGCCGAATTTGTAAGTACATTTCATTCAAATTTTTACTCCATAAAATTGAATGATTTTGAAGAGGATAGGTAGATGAAAATGGATTATAGGCTATTTTCATGGAGCGCTGATGAGAGTTTTAATATTATAGGACGAATATATATATTGACCTCAACCCGATTTTGGAAAACTATTCTTTCATTCTTTTCTTTCATCTCAGGAATTAATCTTTCTGCTATTCATCATCCAAACTGATTATCGTTAGCTATTTTATGAATACAAATTAAATATTATACAATCGAATGATTTCACTGATATCCTAGCTCAACAAACCCCGGATAAACATTATTTTATTTTTCATTTGTTCATATTAATTGATTGATTTTATAATTTTGAATTTTAACATTCAAATAAAAAACTGATATCGAAAGAAGTTCAAAAAATTTTTGTTATATTTGAATAAAATAAAATGTCAAAATTTGTACTAGATTGATTAATTTATAAAGCTTCATTAATTTTTGGAAAAAATTTGTTTTACCATTATGAATGGATAGCTATTTAGTTTATTGATGTTTTGTCGTTGTTTTTTTTTTTTCGACATCATTTACCTCTGTCGTTTCAAATTTTTGATTTATTAAACCAATTTGAAAAAAAGAAACAAGCATGATAATCTTGATGGAATAATTCCAATTAGCTCCTTCTTTTTTTTCAAGAAAATCAATTCCACGTTTTATTGAATTATAAATTCGATGTTTAAAAATTAAAATTAGAAGACCTGATTCATTATCAGACTTCTTTAAAAGCTTTGTATACTTTCTTGAGAATCAAAAAATTTCCAAAAAAAAAAAAGTTAAACATTACTCGATTATTAAATTTCATTTTTTCTTTAATTTCTTAACAATGATTACCAAAAAGGAGAAGGAAAATATAAACGAAATGAATAAAAAAAGGTTCAAAAAAAATTTTGCAAAAAATTACAGCGAATTTTAAAATTTTACAGCAAATTACAGCGAATTTTTATTTCTTCCTTCCATCAAAATCACTTTTTTCTTTATTGCCCATTCTTCTTTTCATTTTCCTCCTCCGTTTTCTCTTCCTCTTTCCATCCTCAACAATCTCATCATTCATCTCTTCTTACCCTCAATTTTTAAGATATTTATTACTTTTGCAGAAATTTGACATTTCAGCATAAATTATTTTGATCGAATTGCTTATGAACTGCTTATGATGAATTGCGCAAAAATACTATCATTTCTTGTTGTTTTATTTATTTGCACCATAAAATCACGGAGATTTCGAAGTAAGAATTTTTTTTTTGCTTTTTTTTTTAATTTGTAAAAATTAATTTATGCTATTAATGATAAGTAGTAGTGATAACATAAACAGACAATATTACTAATGATAAATAAGCAAAAATTTATATATTTTAAATTTTGAATAATGTTAAAATTACTCATTCATTTTTGATTTTCATTGAATAATTTTTGAATAAATTAGAATAAAATTCTTAATTTAAAATTGAATGATATATTTAATAAATGTTGTTCTAACAGTTATGCAAATGTTTCAGGAATTTGTGAGGAGCAAGGAACATGCATCAATTGTTCTGATAATCGATATTCATATTACAAATGTAATGCTTCACATGATTGCTTCACGGATGAGAATTGTACCGAACAAAGTTTCTGTTGTCCGACAAGTGAATTTAACAGAATAGTATTACCGTTATCTAATAATGATTTTGGTACGCATCATTTTTGTTCTTATCTAATTGTAATTTTAAATTTGAATACAAATTACAGTTCTTTAGGAATACTCGTTGAGTGATGGTAAAGTTTATAATTTTATAGCTTTTCGAAATTAATTAGTGTGAAAGTTTTAATGAAAGTATTGAGATTGTAATTGGTAAATATTTAGCAAATGATTGAAAAGAATGAAAATAAATAATTGTCGAATAGTTTTTGAATGTTATATTCAATTAATAAATTTCGGATAGCTTTTGTTTTATCAAACTACAATCATTTCTTTTTCATTATTTCTCTTTACTAAACCTTAGCAAGCAATTTTTTACAGAATTTATTGGCGTTCCAGCTCTCAAATATGAATCTGAAAAGTCAGGAATGTGTCCGGATGGAACTCCATGGCATCAACAATGTAGTAATGATAAGGATTGCATGATTAATGATGAAATTTGCGTAATGGGGAAATGTTGCACAGGTTGCTCAGATTAGTCTCATATTTTTATTTTTAAAAAGTTTAGGAATTTAGCAATTCTCGTAATTTTTTCAAAGATATAAAGTGCATTTCTTTTTTTACAGTATGTTCGCAGCATCGACGTCAAGTATTGAACGATTTACCAACCAATAATGTTATCGGTGTCCATATTCCGCAGTGTGATTCAACCGGAAAATATTATCGTGCGGTACAATGTCGTATCGGAACTGAAGAATGTTGGTGTGTTTCACGATTTGGTCGAATTATTGGCTCATTGAAACCAAAAACAGTAAATTTGAATGCAGCATGTAAAGCATTACGATTAACTGTGAAGCGTATTTTGGATGAAAAACGTGATCAAATTGAAGTACGTCGAAAACCGGAAAATTTAACAACCACAAAACAAGAAAGTCAATCATTCGTTATACTGTCTAAAGGACAAAGTTCAGAACGAATTAGTGATAAATGTTTATGGATGAAAAGTGGACAATGTCCGGAACAACCGATACCTCTTACTGGTACATCGAAATTTTGCTACTGTGATAGTGATTGTTCGGATTCACAAAAATGTTGTCCGGTTTTAACTGGTGGATTGGCATGTTTCTTGAATGTTACAGTTAATAATGGTACTAATTTCTTTTTTTTTTTACTTTTACGCTTCTTCAACGAGAAATATTTGCTTATATAAATTATTAATTATTTACTTGTTGCCCAAATTTGCTAAGCCAAATGGCTAAAACCATTTTATTTAAAAATTTCTGGCTCATATTGATCTAGCACTTCAACAATTTCTAATAATATCCAAAAAAAAGTTTCGTATATGAAATGTTTTTGATTTGAAAAGCATTTCTTTTTATCACTTATAAGTAATTTTTGAAAATGAAAAAAATAAAAATCAAATCATTTAAATTTAAATCATTTTGCAGATCAATTTTCAACCACAGCGCACTCTTCACTATCAAATTCAACAACGATGAAAGAAATATGTGCCGAAAATGAGCAATTTGTTGAATGTATTGATGAGTGTCAACCGGCTTGCTTTTCAAGAAAACCGATTCCATGTTTCATTAAACGATGTAAGAGTGGATGTCAGTGCAAATCAGGTTTCCGGTTTTTTTTTTTCGTTTTGCTTCAAACTGCTTTTTTGGAAGAGTGAAATTGTGTGTTTAACTTTAGCATACCATTTCGCTCTTTCATTTAATCTGAACATTTTCGATATAAATTATAAAATCAAAAATCAATAAATAATGAGAGATGAAATAATTTCAAGTTTCTAATATTTTATGTCTTAATAGTAGCTGAAATTTAACACCAATAAAGCATGAATGTGATTTTTTTAATCAAAACTAAACTTAAAATCTAGCTAATTATGAGAATGAAAGGTCCAATAAGTAAGTGACTATTGATAATAAGTACTAATTTGCATATTGCCAGACATTGATCTTAAACAATTTTATCCTTTAAAAAAAGAAAAAAAATGCAAGTAGCTATATAAGATAATGTATTGTATCAAAATTAAAATGAAATTTAAAATAATATTTTTTAAGGTTTCATTCGTCAACTAAGCGACCAACATGCGCCATGCATCCCGGAGAATGAATGTCCTCAACAAGTTACTGAAATAGAAAGACGTTGCATCGATCCTTTACGTGAATATCGAATTTGTGGCCCAGTTTGCCCAATTTCTTGCACTTCTAAAAAGGAAAAATGCAAAACTGAAGGATGTGTAAAGGGATGTTTTTGTAAAGTTCCATATATTCTCGAGAATGGTGCCGATCCAATTCGTTCCAGGTAAAGAATATTACTATTCATTTTCTATGATTTTCAGTTCAGTTAGTTCTCGATGACAACCTTCGAGAGAATTCTAAACATTTTCCAGATTATCTGCAACGATGATTAAATTGATTTTCGATAAATTTTGTAATTGAATTTTGTAACCGAAGTTTTCTGTTAAAAAATTTTTGATTTTGATAATCAATTTATTTCAGCAAATTTTGATAAAATAAATAGCAAAGAATAAATTACTTTGATTTAATTAAGATCTGAATTGGAATTAAAAATGAAGAAAATTATTTAAATTTCAGATGCATTCTGCCTATATACTGTCCTCCATTAATTGAAGACAATTATCCAGTCAGTGCTACCATTTATTTTGCACCAATGACACCTATGACCCTCAATCCTAATTTATTTCGTGGACATGGCGAGGATTCCATTACTCAATCCACTGTAATGCAATGCAACGATCCATTAAAGAATTTCCAGATTTGCGGTTCTGCTTGTCCAGGTTATCACTAAATTTCTCCCTTTTACATAATTCACGACTACAGCTTGGCTATGTTATTTTATATGAAGTCACGTAACCATATTGTTTTACATGTAGTCAGGTAGCCATTTTATATAGAGTCACGTAGCCATATTGTCTTACACATACTCACATAGCCATATTATTTTACGTGAAGTAATCACAAAATGAAAATGATAACAATGAAAGCAAAAGTTTGAATTCCAGAAAAGATATAAATTGAATAATCTAGCAAAAAAAAAAGAAAATCGTTGTTGCATTTGTTTTTTTTTTTTTCATTCCTGCTTTACCGCAACTATTTGCTTTCTCTCAGTTGGTTGCAACAATCAAATTGCTGGTTTCTGTGGTATTCAATGTATTCCCGGATGTTTTTGTCGTAATCCATACATTCTACAAGATGCTTATAATTTAAATTCACAATGTATATTACCGCATCAGTGTCAATCATCAACAATTCAACAGCATATTTGTTCTGATCCTCGCAAAGAATGGACACATTGTTTTTCATATGAGTAAATTCAAATTTCTTCTTTTTTTCTTCCTCATTTTATTATTATTTTTATTTTTGCTTCTTAATTATTTTGTTTCTATTATTGCGTATGAATGCAAAACAAATGCATATGCAAAGATTTTATTAATTTAAAATGTAAGCAAAACTATGAATATGTTTCAGAATTAATCAATTATTAATTAAATTATCTTTTTCAGATGCGCACGTAGTTGTTCAAATCCGGAAGCAAAGTGTACATCAAGTGATTGTACTCCTGGTTGCGCCTGTCGTGAACCATATCTCTTGTCCGATTCACGTAATCCTAATTCACGTTGCGTACTTCCCAGTGAATGTGGTTCGCAGTGCTCCGATCCACTGAAGGAATATCAGGCTTGTGCTTCATCATGTCCAGTAGGCTGCAATAATCCATTACCACAAACTTGTTCACCATGCGTCTCCGGATGTTTCTGCAAATCAGGTCAGTATTTTTTCCACTGAAATTTTGCATGATTTAATAAATTTCTGAAATGGAAACAATAGTTTGATTAAATAAAATGATCATAATTCGATCTAAATACAAATCTAATTTTAGGATTTGTATTTGAAGATGCTATAAATTGGCGTACTTCTAAATGCACACCCTTTAATCAATGTCCAACAACCAATATTTCTGCTTTATTAATAGCATTTAATCCGCAAGACAATAATAATTCAGGTATATTTTATACATTAATGATTTCTCATTCGAGAATTGATCTAAATTCTTAATTTGTACAAAACATGAAAAAAAAAAAGATTTAATTTATTGCTTTTTGCAGCCAACATGACGGAATGTCCTGCGACAACAGTCGATTTAAGTGGGAAATTTTGTAATTTTGATTCTGATTGTCCAGTGCAACAGGTAAATTAATTAACAGCAATGTCAAATATTCTTTTAATGCATAATTTGTGTAACATTTTATTGAAAGAAATGATTAAGATTTTTATTCAATATTTACAAAAAAGAAATGCAAAAAACTTTAGAAAACTATCATGTAAATTAATTATTTCAGATTTAATCAATATAAATAATGATAATTAAAAAAGAGAAGCTATTCATCAGAAAAATATACACATTTTAGCGTTGCTGTCGTTCAAATCTATTTGCAATGATCAGTTCGAAGCGATCACGTTGCACGTGTATTGATCCACATGCATATTGGGACTCTTGTGGTATTCTATGTCCGGAATATTGTGGACAACCTGCAACACCGGTATGTTCATCAACCTGTAATCCTGGTTGTCATTGCGCATCCGGTTATGTGAAAGCACGAAATCATGTAATGGCTCCATGTGTACTACGAACACAATGCTTGCAATTAAGTAATTGTTAATTTGAACTTTTGTTTAATTTTATTTAAAAAAAAACATTAAATCATAAAATTTAAATTGCTAATTCTAAATCTTACTCACTTATTTACAATTTATTCTTATAAATTACTAACGTAAATTAATATCATTCAAGAGCTGAATAATTAGAGCCCAAATGCTTAGTGTTAATAATTCTTGTAATCAGTTGAAGTTGACAATGCTTGAGGATATTTTTTTTTTTTAATATTGTAGTTCTAATTTGGTTTTCAATTACAGTGCAATCTTGCAAATTTAGTTCATTTAAAAATGAGACGAAAAAAGGCAGTTAACTTTTTTTTTTCACTGTACTTTTTATAATTCAGGAATGTTTCAGAAAAGTATGATGATACCGCGCAAGATAGCAAACGTACAACTAAGGCATATAAGGTCTGGAAAGAAATAGCAACTGCTAAAATATTAAGCGATGGGAATAAAATTATTGGTGATGTGAAAATTAAAGAGATTAACAAAGAAAGAATCAAGCTAGAAGGTGCAATCGAAGGTAAAAAAAATACTTGTCAAAAATTTTAATATTAATAAGGATAGAATTCATGTGAAAATTTGGAAGCAGCTCATAAGTATCTTTCATCATGTATACAAAGTTTTATTTAAAAGTTAAAGAAAGAGAGAGAGGGAGAAGAAGAGAATGATAGAAATTTGAAAGTTAAATATCTAAAAGTTGAATTTTTTTTTTAAAAAAAAAACTCTGATTTCGGAAATATCTTCTTTTTGAAGTAATCTCTGATTTTATTTGAATGATAAAATTTATCGAACAACAGTAAGACAAACATTAATCAATGGGTATTTTGATCAGACAAAAAAAAAAGAAAAAAAAAAGAAAAACGTATGAAAGAAGTATGGCATTTAGTTGGCCATATGAGCAAATACATTAAATTATCAATTTCTTTTTAGTGATTATTGTTAGCATTAATCTCTGTCGAGATTTTGTTCAACGTTCAATTCATGTAATAAATTCTTAGCATTACTTATTACCATTTATTTTTGTTTACTTTTTGCACTTAAAACTTATTTCAACTTCATTTAAATATACCCTTCATAGCACATCTACGATTTTCTTACTTTTTTTGACTAATTTTTGCTTTTTGTAATATTTTAATTTTTCAAAGGTAAATAAAAATTGAATCAAATAAAAGTTTTCTTAGTGCAAGAGTTATAAAAGATGCTACAGCTAATAGCTATGATAATTTTTACCTGTTCTTAGTACTGCTCACAATTAACATTAATTACAATTAGCTGCTTTATTTTCTTTCTTTCCTTTTTTTTTTGCTTTTATTCCATATAAAAATCAATTCGTGTTCTTTATATTAAAAAAACGAATAAGTTTTTAAAAATTTTTTTGCTCATTACGCATATTACATGATAAATGATATTTTGTTTTTATAAATAATATGAAAACTTAAAAAATGATAAACAAATACAACAAAATGAAGAAGGCAAAACCTGATAACTATTCATGTCTATCAGTAGAAACAATAAATAATATAAGGTGATGTTATCAGAGATCAATTCTTGCTACTAAAATGATATTCTTGAAAGTATGAAATATCTGTCTTTCGTACAGTTTGAAATTTTCTTTTTCCTTGAAATATATACAGTTATAAATAAATTTGCAAATTTTTGAATTTTTTTATGAATGCGCATTTTAATCTTTTGTTTTGTTCTTTTTTTCTGATTTATCACCATTTTTCACATTTGCATTTCTAAGTAGCACTAATGAATTACGACGAAAAACTCTTATGCTATTGTCAATAATTGAAAAAAAAAGAGCGAAATAATGAATGAATGAATTCTTTTTTGTTAAATTAAAATTTTTTTGTTCCAGAAAAGAAGCAAAAAGGGTATTGGTGTAAATGAATGGATGGGTGAAGAGGTTTTTGTCGTTATGAAGCACAAAGCACTTTTTTCACTTTTTGCATCATCAAATGCCCATTTTGGATTTTGCTACTTTAAATGTATGTCAAATATTTTTCTTTTTTTTTTGCTACAAATAAATATAGGTTTAAGCTCGTTTGCATGAAAATCAATATCTTTTGCACGA